ATATTCCATTTTTATGATTTCCTAGGCTACCTGTTGGGTTCTCTTGTTATTCAGGCAGGGTGACTGGTCGTTTTTTGTGTCTTCGCTGGACAACAGTGCTCAATATGGTTTAGTGAAATCATTATAAACGATCTCCGTATGTCCTCTAGATCATGCTTAACTAAAGAGACCCATTCATAAGCGTCAATGCGTTGTTTCTCGTGTTGAAATTTGTTTTCTGCATATTGCACTGGCTTTCCGCTCACTTTTGACATTGAGAATGCAGGCAATAGCTCCACAGTAGTGTAGTTTTGTCATTCTTACCAATTGCTGCACTGGAATAGACTTCGTCACTTGTTGAAAATTGGGTATTCGTGGCTCCTCGGGTCCACCAAGAAAAAATGTTATCCACAGCGACTGTCTGCCAGGACTGGTGGTAAAATGGGAATGGAAGGATGGGGCACCTCAAAGTGCATATGAGTGCATGATAACTCAATAAAAAAATGAAGTTATTTTTCTGAAGCATGGAGGAAAGGGCAAGGTGTTATAACGACGAGTTCTCGGTCGCTACGTGTTATAACGGTGACTTCAGACGTGTGTCACCGTGTTTCACCGCCCTTTGGAATCCCCAAGGAAGAACACAATAAGAAGGGTATAATTCTGGTATCCACCCGGAGGGGGGTTTATTGTGTACAAAACCCGGAGTTGCTGTTTCTGGTGGCTGTTGCCGCTGGTTGATCTCCAGTGTGCTGTTTTTCCCGCCCCGGGGTGAGCCCGGCCACTGGAGCGAACTTGTAGTGAAACTGAATTGCCCCTTTGTTGTACTTAGTTAAATATGCTTCGCATGAACTTAACAACTCTTAAATCACACATTGAACAAGCACGTGCTTTTATCTGCAAACGACTTTGTTCTTATTTATTGGTTCGTAACAGTTAAGATTTTCCTATCTCAGGTTCTTGAATAGACTATATTGTATCCTAACATTGGTGACTCCGATTTTTAATTGCGCTTTCAATTGCATAAACTTGCTAATAATTCTTATGCGGTTTCGCAGCTCTCATTTTTACTGGCCGAAATTTTGTCAAGGTTTTCAATGAATGCATTCATGCAGCG